TATGGAGCGATACATGCACACACATACACACACACGCGCACGAGAGTATGTGGAAAAGGCCACCTCACAATTTTGACAGCGTTGATCCACAGACTAGCAATCACTGGACAGCTGGGACCAACAAAGGGCGTTGCAGGGAGCACTGCCGTGGGCTGTGTGGGTCATCGCACAGGAGGAGGACATATACAGACAAATAAACATATACTGTATCCTCCAGAGGAAAATGTTTGTGCAAAAAAATCACACGGGGAAAAAAAATCTCCTGTCACAAAGAAGGGCTCCAGATGATGCTTTGGGTCTCGTAGGCTACTACCAAATGGCGGAGCCAGGATTTTCAGGTAGGGGGGTGGGGCAACCCCTCCAGCAATGAAAACTGATAGAGGAGTTGTGAGTAAGTAAGGAGTTGTTAGCAAGTAAGGACTTGTCCCTTGCTTTTTATTCGACGCGTGTGCGGCGATGGCGCAGCCATCGATCGAGGGTCGAATTCGAACCGCGTTGTGTGATCGGCATCGCGCTCGCTGAAGGTGAATGAATTCAGGGAAGTCGTGGACTGTATACGCAACTGCGCACAATTCTGATCCGCTTATAACCGCCTTGCCGTTACTTATTGCAAATTATGGACTATTGTCCTATCATCTCATAGAGTCCCTGGCACATAATAATTAGCTACACAGTGGCAGTGGGGGGTCGCAAAATGCCGATGTATTACTAATAAACCCCAATGATCCGATCTAGATGAGGGATTTCGATCGGATCGTTGGGGGGCATGTGCCACCCCCCCCCCCCCCCCCCCCCCCCCACTGGCTCCGCCAGTGGGTACTACTGTGAATCCTTAACCTTGCATAACTCTTCAACCTCCTAAAAGATAAAAACTAAATAAAGGGTCAATAAAAACCGTATCTTTTTGGGGGAATGTGTGCTCAAAGTTGAGTTCTGAGACTCTTAAAATGGCTCTTGTGTTGCCGCAAAACCCTCTCGTGAAAGAAACAAAACCTGCGACTGAGAGAACGCTCTTGGTGTTGCAAACGGATGCGTCACAGCGTGGCATTGGGTGGGGGTGGAGGTGTACAATAGTTCTCCAAGAATAGTCAATCTGCAAGAACGTTCGGGACTCATTATTTCCAGTCATCTATCTAATTGCTCGCCACAAACTCCCGGGGAGCCCAGCGGCACTCGACCACCGAACGGGAGTTGCTCGCTTTCGCGCGACGCTCTGCAAATGTATCCGCTCTTGGTAGGGAATTCATCTCGGGGAAAGATCACGAGCGCGTAAATACTCACCGCAGGGCAGGGGGGGAGGGGAGGGGAGGGGATGGGAGGGGAGGGGAGGGGAGGGGATGGTGAGGCTGATGTGGTGGTGCAGTTGGCAATACGAGAGGACAGTGTGGGTACGAACCTCGTTCGTCGCAGCAAAGTCCGAGTTTCCGTCCGCTTGGAGCACGTGCTCCATCGTGCCGCATGGAGCCAACGTCGATCTGACGTCAATCTGACGTTGGCTCTTCGCTTCCGAGGGAGGCGACGCCGAGGGCACCAACGCGCGCTCGTATTTTAGCCGGGCAGTGGTATACCACATTCAGTTAACCGTGTGCGGGCGACGTGTAGCTGAATCGGTCAGATGGATTTTCTTTTTTATTCGCCAGCAATTGCGAGATCCTCGTTAGCGTGTGAATGGATCTGGTTTCAGGAGAGGTAAAACCAGTCAAGGCTGGGTTAGATGGGGAGAGGGGGTGTGGATACTGGGTGTGCCATTAGGGTATGGATAAGAGAGCTTTCGAACCAAGAGGCAGGACAATTGCTCCTCTCGAGACGGCTTCTCAGAACCTCTCCAGGCCGCAATCATTACCAGCAACGATTGGCACCGGAGCCAGCTGGCATTGAGACCCAATCAACGCTGGGCACTTGTGGAAGGGTTCCACAGTAGACTCGAGCGCTTCCCAGACCCGCACAGCCAGTGCCAGCTTAAATTTTGATTTAAAGCTTTCGTGACTGCAGGGATTCATCTTCTTGGTTCTTTCGGTAAAGTCACGTAGAAGGGAAGTAATAAAATAATAAAAATAAGAATGAGGCTCATTCTTCACCTGAGGACGGCTGCTTGCGTTGTAGCCGAAACGTCGTGAGAATAATTTTATTTTATTATGTTTTATTTTTATTATTTTATTACTTCCCTTCTACGTGACTTTACCGAAAGAACCAAGAAGATGAGTGCCAGCTTACATAACGACGGGTGCCCACCATGCAGTTTGTTGTGTTGTTATCAGTGAGAAAAGTTTGCCCCCCCCCCAACCCCTGCAACCTTTGACCTGTGGTTGTCGACGATCGAGCTGTAAAACTGCGGGCTGTGTGCCCACAAAGTTGTGAGGTTCACCGCGCGGGTGTCTGGCTGGGCACGCGCGGTACGTGAAGGGGTCGGCGAGACCCGCAGAAGGCGGAGAGCCGCTGGGGGTGCCACGTGAACGGGCGTTGGATTTGTTTCGCACCCCGCTCATCGGAGGTGTGGATGGTCTGAAGTGCACTGACATGTTTCAACTGATGCGTGGCGCTGTAAGTGGCGACATCAATAACGCCGGTTAACAAAAAAAACATTTTTTTCTGGCCTGGACTTTTGCAGCTGTTTTAGACTAATTTCAGGGTGCCGATTCCAAATTTGATCTCAGATTTGCTCTATCACATCTCATTTTTATGCTATCGGCATACCCCATTTTCATTGATTTTACCCGAAATTAACTCTGTCACTTATGATTGCAAGTTGTTGCGAGTCAGTGACTGCTTTAGTGTTAAAATATGGTGCTGTATTTTTAGGATAATGTGTTTATAATATAATTTTATGTAGATATCCACATTTATTTAATATTTTTCTTCCACAGTTTTTATTATAAATGCCATATTGGATATCTCAAAAACCTGATGAGATAGACAAACACTGATGCCAGATTTGGAATCGGCAACCCAAAATTACCTTAAAACCATTGGAATACCTTATGCCAGAAAACGTGTGTTGACCAGTGTAATAATAATAATGCTACTAGCAACGACACTGTGTGACCATGGAGATCTTGCAAGTGTCCTAAATGCCGATGTTATAATACATTGGATGCTCAGGCATTGGGGGGCACTAACGCTACCACGAACCGTTCATCGGTTTCAGGGTGGCAACGAGACGCAACGTCGATACACGTCTTCTTGGTTCTTTCGGTAAAGTCACGTAGAATGGAAATAATAAAATAATAAAAATAAAACATAATAAAATATTCTATTATTTTATCATGTTTTATTTTTATTAATTTATTATATTACTTTATTATGTTGTATTTTTATTATTTTATTATTTCCCTTCTACGTGACTTTACCGAAAGCACCAAGAAGATGAATCCCTGCACTCACGAAAGCTTTACATCGAAGTTTAGTCGACACACGTGTTGAGTGTCTCCATATTGTGTGAATACGCAAATCACAGTGTTGTTTGGATCGTCGGACTCGTCACGCCACGGAATGCACATTCGATCTGGGTCACGTTTCGACGAGGTCACATTTTAGATCACGCGGAACAGTTGTTGCTATTTCCACTGTGGGATTTTGTTTTTTCGTCTTTATTTTTTTGTTTTGCCGGAGGTAAGATGCACGAGAATCTCTCCCGACGTTGGTGAGAGTGGAAATGAATGAACTGTTCGAACCGTGGCGGGGAGGGGGGGGGCATCTCTGGTATCTGGTTTTGTAAGCGCCCTTGCTGCTGAGCAAACAATCACCGCCCCGTGCCACGAGTCAATCTGGTGAAAGCATAATCCAATCTGGTGAAACCATTTGGTGAAAGCATAATGCAATCTTACTTAATTTGGGTATTCACTGTTATGTTATCCGACTCTCTGTTGTATTACAATACATTTCTAAGTATACTAGATTTGTGTTTCTATTTCATTTATACCTGATGATGATTGCTTGTGTTGCAATCGAAACGTCGTATGCTAGTAATTAATTTATTATTTTCTCTTTATACGTGACTTTACCGAAAGAACCAAAGCATAATGCAATCTGGTGAAGCAATTTGGTGAAAGCATAATGCAATCTGGTGAAACAATTTGGTGATACCATTTGCAACTTTGTCCAGGTGACTCACTCCGACATGGGAAGCGATCCTAGCATACGCGCCAGTCTGCAATAAGCAGTAATTAGTCAGACGCTAGTTTTCACAATAACAGTGAATACGTTACGTAAACGCCCATTGCGTCTTCGTGTCTCACTTCAACTGCTTTAGATGACAAATTAAGTGGGGAAGGTCTGAGGTGCAACCAGTCATAGAACACAAGTCCTACCACGATGGCTTACATAATTAAAACTGAATAATTGATATCCACGCATGCAATGCATAATATTTCTACTCATGCGCACAACGCCGCGTGTTTCATAAAAAAAATTAAATTGACTTTGACATGAATAGCATGAATCACAGTGTGAACCCAAAACATCGCACAATGACTTAATAATAACTTATATTTGACACCGATGCCCGAAACATTTATCATAATGACTTAAAGCTTTCGTGACTGCAGGAATACATATTTTTTAGGTCTTTCAGTAAAGCCACATAGATATGATTTTTTTATAAGGTTATTATTTAGATTGTTTTTCTATCTACGTGGCTTTACCGAAAGAGCCAAAGAATATTTATCAAAATATAGCCTGTGGCCAAATCGACAGGACCATGCCCAGTCTTATTATATGTTTTACCTACATGACTTTACCGAAAAAACCTAAGAATAAGGTAAAAAGATTGGAAAGTGGTTGTATGGGCGACCACTGTGAATACGAGAGGCGTCAGAGTCTGCTGCGTTTTTCTCTCGTGGGGCAGTGCGGACACATCAATTTCACTGGCGAAGTATGGTCAAACGATCCTTAACACCGAACGGCGTGGGCTTAAAACCTTAGTGCACCGGTGAAATTGACGGGGAAAAAATGCCGTACGTAAACACTACACTCGACACACATAAATACCAAAAGGAACTTACCTCCGAAATGTCACTTTGCAGGCGAAAATTGACACCAAAGTTCAACGGGAAATGGTCGGGCGCGAGCGAGGTCATTTAGCAAGAAGAGGTTTAAAAAGAATCATGAAAATCTACTTGATGAGCATTGGATCGATAGAGCGCGATTGTCACACCGCTTCGTATTGACGATTCAAAAGCACGACCTAAGCCTCTGTCGCACACAGTCTTTGCCGCTTGCTGCTCGGAGGCAGAGCCTCTCTCGAGCTCAGCCTTTAAATACAATTACTGCCACCCCCTATCGCTCCCAACCACCACCGCCTTTCCCCCTCCTCCTCCTCCTCGCCCCAGATCCTTTATGAATGAGGGACGCTCATTCACAATTCGCCACTTGCAGATCTGCGTATAGGGTGCATGGTGTAAATACTGTGGGGGTGGAGGCGGAGGCGGGGGGAGGTTTCCACGCAAGAGAGAGGATGAGCTCTGTGGCGGTGCTGGTGTCTTGAATATTATTTTATAAAATGCGTCATTAGCGTATTTACGATTCATGGCAGGATTCGTTTCCACGCAATCTTTCAACAACAACGACACAATACTCTATCAAAAAGTAGCGTGCTTGTTGTTTAAACGAGGCCACCTTTTAAAATGTGGATCATTAGCGCCATCAATTAATATGCGTGTTGGTACATTGTTCTTGATATCGATTCTTGGTCATTGTTAGCGCGTGTGGCTCGAAACGTGTGGTCGTGGTTCCAATCGCATTTTTTATTCGATTCTAAAAACTACGTGCGTAATACAATGATCATCTATCCAGCTGTGGATTGACCATGACCAATGCGGTTTTATTTTTTGTCGGGCGTGGATTGTTTCGGTTGTCTCGGATTTTAATGTGGCGATGCGGGTCAACCCCCGCACCCATCGACACCGTCGCATTCCTCTGTAAGGTATCGACTTGCGCTCGATATGTGGATCAATTATGGTGAAGATGAGACCCAAACAGGTGTGTGTGTGCCTGTCGCGAGATATCCGACAGCTCTTTAAGGCGTCTATGGTTGTGAAAGAGACTTTCAAATTAGTCCGGAACGATCTCGTGACATCACTTTTAGCGACGTAGAAAACATAATGAGCTTGGGGGCTGCAGTTATTCTGTGACAAAAACGCTTTACAGCTCGTCGGATTCCTCCTGCATGAATACATATTCTGTTCATCATTCGGCGTTTCAAGATTCGTGTGGAGGCGCTAACACTCAAGGCAGTGATTTTAAAGTAATCGATTCTAGAATCCAACTGCGAACGCGGAATCACGACATTCCACACCCCGAGTAGATACGAGATCTACAACATAACAGGTCACTTTAACGCGTAGGCTGTCGCGACCAATATTATCAATAATGGAGGTGTTTTTTGTAAATATAAATGTGTTGTCTAACCCGCCACCATCGGCATAGCCATATAGTAAGGTTTGTCACGTAAACAGAACATGCCAATTCGTGACCGGTACAGCACGCCGATGTGTTGGAGAGTAAAACCCACAACATTTACAATTCGAGTACGACGTTTCGCTAGTAATTACTACCAGCAACATCAGGCGGACAGACAGATTTGTGGAGAAATCCTCCTCCTGTTTTGGTCTTAAATGTTCTCTTTGCGTGACAAACCCTCACTAGTTGGCTGTGTCGGGTGGTGGCGGATTTAACGACACATTTATATATTTACGAGATCTAACCCCCAAAAAAAACCTTGTTTATAAACATAATAGGTGACGTTTCGGACAACGACCCTTCTGCATAGCTAATAAATGATACGTGATGTGGTCTCATTTCAACGCACACTGTTTATTTTTTTTGTAAGATGAATGTGCTGTGAAGAAGGGCCATTTCCCGAAACGTTGACTATTCTATACATATCCTGTAGTTTATTTTTTAGGCAGCGTCATTGAATACATTGTATTCGTTTTTTTCACCCCAGTTAATTAGGCTTGTGCAGCACTGCCAAAAGCAGCTGCATCATCAAATAATATATTCCGTACACCATAATAGCTGTTCGTTTACGGTTTGGGGTCCTTAAGCATGTTCCAATGAAAAAAATCTAATTACAAATAAAACGATATGCAAACGCATGTTTTTGCACTAGAATTTATATATTTTTCTAAAAAACGACCACAAGTTTAACATTTTCCTCCGCTATTTATGCGGAATTGTAATAAATTAGAAATGCACTTTACATAATTTGGGATGGCTCCACGTTTTACCTGCGAGTCGGCTTGCGAACCCAATTTCAAGCTTTAATTTGCATCCATCATCTTCTGTTCGCTTGCAATAAATTAACGATGTGATTACATTTGTTTTTATTTTGACGCTGTAATAATTCTTTTCTCCCAGTTTCCGAACGCCAAAATTTAATTGGCAAACCCCCTCCCCCCCGCCATCGTTCGTTTATAATTGCAAATCCTTTGTTTTGGAAGCGGCGAAAAAAAGTATCCATTGTGATTTGCCACCAGGAGCTTAAGATCAACAGTGTGAGTATAGTTACTTTTAAAAATTAAGATAGATGTCTATCGTTGCAAAGCGAGACGAGTTGAGGTGGAAAACACATTCGTTTAAAGGCTCGTTTCAATGGCATTGTTTATTTTGCTTAACGCGTATACTGCGAGTGGGTGAGTTAGCCTGTGGCTCCGAATGTTAACCACTTGTGTGCCTACCACTGTGCCATTTATATGTTGAGGTGCAGCGGCGGTGTTCGGTGTTTAACACCCTGCGCTATGGACCCAGCAACATGAGTTTGATTCCCTGCCACGGCTAGACACCAGGGAGTTGTACAGTTTATTGAAACCGTTCATTGAAACATGCGGTTTTGACAGGTTGCAACAATTGCACTGTGATCCGTAATGCGTTTCTGCTGGTGACAACCACCTTTCACATCCTCTGCGGTGTGTACCTGAATCGGCGTGTTATTAAATACTTTTGGGAAGGAAAAAAACCCTTAATAGTGGAACCGATCATCCTGGGCAACTCACCATTCACCCCCCCCCCCCCAACTCTCCAAATTGACCAGAGTGGTGAAGTGTGTTCAAATAACCCCCTCCCCGATTACGTAACATGACCAGAACGGTTGAGGGGACCTTTTTAATCCACCAGCGGTTTAACAAAAGGCCGTGATTTTATATTTTTTATTCGAACTTCCGAGTGTTGCGTGGTTACGACCCAATTCATGAGCCGTTGCAGCCGTACGGTTCGGTGTGACCGGCGTCACTGTCTCGCAGTATGAACGAAACAAAAACGGATCGCGATCATTTGGCAATTGGCTCTTGCGTGCGCTGTTCTTTCTGAAGGACGCTCCATCAATAAACATTTGTTAAAGCCCCCCTCCCATTCCCCCCCCCCCACCTCATCGGCAGAGACCCTCATTGGCAATTCCGCCATATTGAAAGAGCTATCCTTGGTGCTAAGTGCACATTCTTGCACCATCTTGCGCGTCTCAGCGACTGTCGGAGCCGCTCCGCACAATTCCTTCACCTTGGGCTTTCGTGGAAACCAAATGGACCCCCTTGCAATGCACGAGCTCACGGATATAAATCAATGAGCGCAGGGGGACGGTACACCCAAGCGTTGGGTTAATTTAATCGCCGCACGTTTGTGGCTCAGTGGGGACTCTTCGTTGAGATGATCAACAAAGCGACGCGTGCGAGTGTGCTACGGCGTGCTTCTCGTCTACCTGTCGCGCCAATAATGCTCGCGAAGATGCACGAACGCTGTCTCACAATGCGGTGCATTCTCTGCATGTGATCCACAGACCCCCACCATGATGCTCACATTCTAAACATGCCACCGATGTGAAGACCACATCGACAAGAGTGACCGATTTGAATTGTAACAAAATGAAAGTCTGACAATGCAATCCAATTTTTATTTCATTGTTTCCTTGAGATTATAATGACAAACTAACGTCCTCTTTGTTGCGTGGAAATTTCTTCTCAAAATTTAATGTCTTGAGTCTTTCCACGGAACGATATTACCATTTTCTTTAACATGTGTTTAGGATGCAGCATGGAACTCTATATTTGGCCTCACTGTTGCCACTGCACATTATATATTTAACAGATACACATTCCATTATGTTCACTGGTGGTATAAGTAATGCATGTTAAAGGTCATGATTGAAAAAAACATGTATATTAAGTAGCTGTAAACTCACACGTGTTGTGAAATATTAAAATACAAAACTCGAAATGGTGAGAGATGGTTGCAGTTCCTCCATATGCCAATTTGCTGCCGAAATATTCAGGTGAAGATGCCAAGGGCTTTTAAAAGCAGGCAGCCAGCAGCAGCAGCGTTCTATATAATTCAATCGTTAGTGGGAGTAGGGAGGGTAATGTGAGTGGGTGTATAGGAGGCAGCGGGAAGACACTGGTGAAGTATCTCCCATGTGGGATCCTGGCTTTCCTGCTGCTGGCTGGATACCGGGAGGCTGTTTCAGAGAGAGAATTTGGATGTAAGAATTAAAAAAAGTGTCTTCCATTGGCATTCTGTGTCGTTTGCTGGAGAATGGAACACAAAAAAAATGTACGCTTAGTTTTGATTTAAAGCTTTTGTGACTGCAGGGATTTATATTCTTGGTTCTACGTGACTTTACCCCCAAGGGAAGTTTGTTTATTTTTTGCTGATGGCATTGTGTGAAATGTTTTAAACATTGCGAATTAAAGCAGCCATTCATTTGAAAACATGTAAATGCCCTGCATGGAAAGAAATGTTATTCAGCCCAACAATGACATTTCTTTATGGTTCAAAGACCGACATCCTCAGGGTTTGCATTAAAGTGTGGGGTCAGGATATGTTGGTGTTTGCGGTGGTTTGCAGAGGGAAGGAAGGAATCCATGACTCAAGTTTGGAATTTTTAAGTTGCGATTCACTGGAACGTTTTCCAGATATAACCTTGAACCAGAGGTCAATTTGGCATGAACATACCTCGACAGCATACATGGAGAATTGCATGTAACAGAAAATCCCTTGTGCTAGCCAGTCACCACGGCCAGTGCTCTATCATCTTGTAAATGTATTTGAAGAGGTGTAAAAGAAGGTGTGATCAAGAGTCAAAGCAAGTATGAATCAATCCCCTGCTTTTATGATGCATAACTGGATCAGACATAAAAACGTATTATTTAAATAGGATGCCGTGAACGGTGGGTTTAACAAGGAAAGACAGGGGGATGAATGAGGAAGTGAGGGAAAGACTCACGGT